ACTAGATGATTGCTTTCATATGTGTTGGGGTAGTAGTTTTTCTAATGAGCCTTCACTGTCCATTAGGATGATATCCAATGTCTTTTATTCACATGCTCTTTTATACCATGGATGGGTCTAACCACAGCCCTTTTATGTTTTGATGTTTAAATGAAATGGATTTTCCTGTACTTCTGTGAAGAAGCTTCTGATACAACAGTAGAAAGAAGCCTGGGTAACTTTCGAGGTTTTACAGCTCCAGGGCTCCTTCCTCCGCCAACACGACACACTCACAGACAGGCCCTGTACAGCTGCTCCCCTCGGAGCCCCACTCTCACAGCTCCCCATGGTCAGCTTCAGGTCTGTTGGTGTTCTGGCTTTCCCAGGTGGAATGCTGTCCTTCGGGGAGGGAGCCTGCTGGGACTTCCGGGGTCTTGGGGCACACAGCTGCTCTGGCTCCTCCACTCTTCTTGTCTCCGCCACCCACTGTGAGTGTTGAGGTCGCCTTGCAGCTGAGCAGGGTGCTCCTGGAGGGGCAGGCACTTGTGGGGCGGGGGCAGGAGAACAATGAACATTTGCTTCCTGTTTTAAATGAAAATTAAAACAGGTCACCCAACAAAAATGCTTACATTAGATGAAGACAATGAGGAAAAAATAGAAAGTACAGAAACAGAATCCATAATTGTCTGAATTGGTTTTTTCTTAACATTGGAACAAAGTTTCAAATGATTACAAAATGAACACCAAAAATATTAAATACTTCATAATCAAAAGGAAAGTGATACCTAAATTTGTCAAATTGGTTACTGAACAAGACAAAGAAGAATTATCTAAGAGAATTGCAACATGTAACTTGACTGTACAGCTCTACTTGCAAACGCCTTGAGTGCAAAAAGAATTGCAAAAAGTTAATAAACTGTGTTCAAAAATCATAATATTAATCATACTGGTATTACTATTCAGAATCTATTACACAGTAACATAAATATTATAAATCAAGTAAAATTGTACTGCTGTCATCAAGAACCAAGACTTTCACAGAAAAGTTTACGCTAACATAAAACACTGGCATCAGAAACACCACCATGATCAGAAGAGGTATTTTTAAACCATAAATACTGCAGGTATTGCCCAGCTCTGTCCCCAGCCCAGTGGCAACAGCATCCCCACCATAGCACAGCCCTGCCCAAGGCTACCCAGAGCAGAGCCAGGCTGCCCCAGTGGAGGAGGAGAGAGACCCAGGGACAAGGTAGGTCTGAGATCACCTCGGGAGACGATAGCAAGAGGCACTGATGAGAAGACAAGAAGATCCAAGAGGAAATCTGTGTGCACTCCATGAAAAGAATAGAATCAGCCTGGATGGAAGGACACAAACCACGATCTTAAAAATCAGACACTAAAAGAATCAGTCTTTGGAAGACTGGCTAGGAACCAACTCGGTATGCTGGAAACTAGTTAGTGAGTAAACAAAGTATTTATTCTGTGTTCACCTGCATCCACTGTATGTCAGGGAGGCCAAACAGCTGATGAGACTTTTCCTAGAATGGAATCCTAATGAGCAGAGACAGAATGATAGGATTTGATATGGAGATGGTTATATATATATATATATATATATCCATCCTGAAACAATATATATATATATATATATACAATATATATATACAATATATATATACATTATATATATACTTTTATATATATATATTTAAAAAACCACCCTGAAACAACGTATCTAAGCACTTATCACTGATGGCTACTAAAACTATTGCACAAGAAGTTAGAGGGGAGATGCATAATCGGTGGACTGATCAGAGCTGCCGGAAGCCGCTGCTTGCTCTCACCATCCATTGGTAGAAAAAAAGAGAAATGACCCTTACGCGACTTCTGAGAGGAAGAGCCGTTCAACACGGGCTGCCACCGAGCACCCTTATCCTGCCCCCGAAATCCAAATCTGAATCTCACCAATCCTGAAAACACACGAACTTGCAAAAAATACAGGGGTTACATGGTTTGTTAAAGGACATCACATTTTCTATGTTGCTCACCAGATTCAATCAGCAAAAAGCAGGAGTGGAAAAGTCCAGAGAACGGACTCTTTCCTCAGCAGCTGATCCCAGGGGCGGGGCCAGGAATGTGAGAGAACCCACAGAAGAGACCAGACAGCCTGAAGTCAAAAACTGGTTTGATCCTGAGTCAAACAAATAATCTATAAAAATAATTCACGAGATAAGCAAGTGAATTCAGACAGGCTATGTCAGAAAACGTATTAAGAATTTATTAGCTTCTCAGTGTTTAATGGCACGGTGAAGATATTTATTTCAGAAGCGTCCTCATCTACCACAGATACACGTGAAGCATGTACACAGTGTGTCAGGATTTGCTTCATTTGCTAACACAGAGGGAGAAGGAGTGTGTGTATGGGAAAGATAAATGAAGAGTGTAAATGGAATAAAACTGCTACCTATTTACACCATTGATAATGGGCGGATGTGGGTAACTGTATTATTTGCTCAGTTTCCTTTGGCCTGACACGCTTCAGTACACACATCCCACAGTAAGAGGGAGCAGCTGGTCTCCTGGTTGCCCTTCTAATGCCCACCTCATCTCTGTTGTCAGCTTCTTGCTTTTTCTGTCCTTTTATTTTTGCAAGTTAAGTACTGTAAGTCTTTGCAAAGATTTTTTTAGCACATCTAAGGTTCAAAAGTGAGGTTTGCAAGCTGTGCACTCAACTCTACTGTCAGAAACAGAAATCTATTTTAGATTCTGCTCTTGCCCTCCTTAGATTTTCTAAGCCCTATCAACAGTCACCTTCTGCTGATAAGCTGACGTCAAGAAAACGTGGATTTTCCAACTGGCATGTCTGGACCAAAATAAAGAGCAGAACCCCAACTTTAAACAACCCAAAAATAATTTACAGTAGTTCACCAAATGTATAAGAGGAAACTGGGGGAGGAGGGGAAGAAAACCACAATTTACCATGAGCCCTCTCGGTATCTTGATGGAAAATTTTAAAGATAGAAAAGTAAATTTAATGGATTAATCATAGATTTAATAAAGCTCTAAATTAAAATATTTTTGATATGTAAAAGATATTTAGTGTACAATGTCAAAATACTATTGACTGACCCTGTAGCTATTTGTCAACATATATAAAACCACAGTGTGAAATATAAACTACACAGAAACAAAGAACTTTTTTGAAAAACTAACCCAGCAATTTTACCTAAAAGTTCACCTGAAAACATAACTAAGAAAGTCCACAACAAAGGATTTAGCCATAAGAATGATTCCCCAGCAAAGCAATGGGAATTGTTAAGTTGCAGTAGGGAAGTGCTGGCATAGGCCGTGCGCTGCCCTCTGATGGAACGTCCAAACCTCTAAAATGACACTGAATGGCAACAGCAGCTGACTTGGACACGCATCCTCAACACATCACCGAGAGAGAAGTACGGGTCTAGGCTCTGCACAAAGATGACTGACCACATGCACGGCAGCAGGGAAGGGCAGTGTGAGCGTGTAGACACAGCACACATGAACCTGTCGCTGCTGGTCCAGCACCGGGCAGCTGCGGAAACAGAAGGCAGGAACAAAATCTGGAGCTGCCTAAGTCCACCCACATGGTCCAGGCTTCAGGCCTGCAGGATGAAGACATATGGGATGTCTACCCAGGTGAGTGTGCTTAGCACCCCTGAATTGTGTATTCAGGAGGAAAGCAGCCAATTTTTTTTCTACCACAATTAAAAAAAAAAACTTGTTAAAATACCAGTATCGGTCAAAAGCAATAGGTTATCTAGCATCCCATACACTTCACTTCATTTCAAGATACACAAAACAGTATTTACACAATATAGAACAATTAAAATCATAGGAATGCATCTTTATGATTTTGTGAAATATTTGATGTTTAATCTACACCTAAGCTGAGAGTTTAAAAATCAACTCTGCTGAAATTCTTACCACAATTTATGCAGTAAAACTACTCATGTTATTTTTCTAATACACGAATACATTGAAAAATTTAATAACAAAAGCTAGACACACAGATCGCTGAAAAAACACTTTCTCTCAGGCACAAGCTCCTTAGCAGAATCTAAATCAGTGTAGGCAGGAAGTGGTCTGTTCCCTATCAGGAGCTGCAGATTAAGCTGGCTATGTAAATGTGAGCTACTAGCAAATTATGAAATTTTCACTCTTATAAGAAAGCAAAATTCAACTTAATGCAGAAGAATCATCAAAAGTGCTGTATTTAAACTGCCTCACTCTGTACTTTTGAGCAGAGAGTTCTCACTTCTTGCTATATTCTGCAGATCTCTGGCTCGAGGGAGGGAACACAGCTCAGTGGTTGAGTACATGCCCAGGATCTGTGAGGTCCTGGGTTCGGTGCCCATCACCACCCAAGATAACAGAACTATACTAAGGGATTTAAAGGTGTCCCACAAGGGTTGACTTCATAAACGCTGTGCACTTCATTTTTTACTTTGATATTTTATCAAAGACTGGGAAGAGCTGCACAACTGAAAACTGATCTGAAAAACTGCTTTCCACATGTAGGTGAAAACATGGTTCATGTGTTTCACCTGCTGACATCTCACTGAAAAGTAAGACAGGTAAAATCCAAATGCATCACCCGAAGATCTCACAGGGGCAGCAGCCTGAGATGGGCCTAGGGTGGCACTTTCCGGGAGCCACCCTCAGATAAGCCAGGCTGTGTGTCAGATAGTACCAGAAAGTGATCTGGCTTGGCAGAGAATGAAAAAGGAAAGTAATGAAACAGGGCAAAGGAAGCCAAGGCAGCTAAGTGGCCTGGAAAAAGTGAAAGGCAGGTAAGGCACAGGGTACACAGGAAGGACTCCCCACTCTGCTCACCTCCATTAGTAAAACGGGAGGAGCAGGCAGGAGCCATTGGATTGGGCTTCTATTTTCACCACATAGATCAACATGATCTTCCGGTAAACATTCATCAAGGCCCCTTGGGATGGGAAAGAACACGGGATGGGGAGAGTGCACGGGAGCCCCACCTTCTCCTGGGACAGCCTCTGAAGGTGAATCCCGCAGGACAGCAGCGTGGCGAACAGGGTCAGGAGGTACTGCTGGACCCTGCAGATGGCGGCGGCCAGGGCTTGGGTCGCAGAGGGAAGTCCCACCTTCTCAATCACACTCTGGAAGGCAGCAGGCCACTGGCGGGAGACTCGACACAGGGCCTGTGGGGACAGGGACAGGAGCAGATGGTCAGACAGCCAGGCATGGAATAGCTGTCCTCAGAGACTGTGCCTGCTGTGGGCACCAACCCTTCAGATCTTACTCTGGAACCAGAATGTGGAAATCCCCAGCAAACTGAAAAGTTCAACAACAATCCTGCCACAATAAAAATGAACACTGTCTTAAAACTTTGAGATAATAAACATTAAACTGATACCTAATTCACAAGTCTGCATTTTTTAAAAAACCCTCCTTTAAGTACTAAAAACATTACTAAACACCTCTGTGCCGACACTAAGTGCAGAAAACATATTCATAAAATTAACACTGACCATTGCTATGTGAGGAACACTCTCAGTATCTGAAAGTTACCTCATTTAACTCTCTCACTAACATGGTAAGACAAAGCCAACTGTGTGAGCAGCTATCCCAAGGAACAGAGCCCGGGCACAGCTGGGCCGCGCACAGGGCGAGTCCATGCCCAGAGCTGCTCCAAACTGCTCAAAGTTTTGGCTCATAGCTAATGCCACTTAAGTTCCTTCTCCCTGATTCATATTTTAAACGGGTCTATAACCTTGATTAATAATGAAAAGATCACATACAAAAGCCACTAGAAAGATGTCAAGAGGAAAGAGTGGAGGTAAAATTCTTAAAACTTTGAAAAGGACTTTCATGTTCTTAAATTTTTTTCTATCTCAGAGAATGAAGTTCCTTTCAAAATTACTGCTGATAAAATAAGTGCTGACTGGGCTGGGGATTCAGCTCAGTGGCATGAGCACCTGCCTGGCAAGCTTGAGGTCGCAAGTTTGAACCCTGGTACCAAAAAAAGTTTAAAAAAGAAGTGCTGCCTGGTATGAAACCAAATCTCCATAAAAATGAGATGTTTCAAAGTAAATGGATGCTAAACCTTATTCCCTGCCCAGAAGCAAATGCTACAGTGACTATGACAGAACCACAGAACTCCCACAAGGAAATCCCACCCAGCCCGAGTATCCTGAGAGGCAGAAAGGGGAGCAAGTGAACACATTCCACACCCACGCACCTGATTCTAAAACAATTCTTAAAAGTCACTGCTCATGGCTTACCGTACATCTTTCTTAATTTCATGAAAATGCCAGCTGTCCTCTTTGATCTTGGTGACCCGAGGAGAACTTGGCCTGACCATGAATGGCGAGAGCGAAAGCACTCACTGGCCCGTGGGCTGTGGCTTTCAGACAAGCTAGGATGCCACCACCATGAGCGACTCTGGGGTTTTTGCTTTGGATTTTTTTTTTTTTTTGGACTTTTGCCCTATTTTGTGCATATTTATGACTTATCTCTAACAATCACCCCATTTTAACTTTGAGCTGTGCATTCATGTGTGTGATGGAGCATTTGTGTGTGAGGCTATAAGCATGTAACGAGGACACCCTGGCAGCCAGCACGACGCCCCGCTGGCTGGAAGGTCCCAGTTTGTGTATGTGAATGGTCAGTTTATGGTCACCCTTCTGCTTAGGGTCCCCTTGTAATTGATTGAGGCCCTTTTATACCTTGACCCCTTCCTACTATCAGAAAAAGGGCAAACCAGGTCCCGCCACCCTTGAGCACCCATGAGAGAGAGAAGAGCTGGTACCAGTCAACCACTACCACCCAGGTCTGACTTCCCACCTACAGTCCCCACCCACCCCACCCCCAAGGAGGAGCAGCTTCTGATTTCTTAGGACACTGGGCACGGGATTTATTTTAGCTACTTCCCGCTGGGAGGGGGTGCTGGAGCAGGAGTTAAACTCCTTGCTCTTGTTTTGGTGGGCAGTGAGTGCAGAGGTTCCTGGAAGGGGTCCAGTGGTTGCCTTTATTTAGCAGTGCTATCTGGAAATGGATACTCTGGAAACAGAAGGAAACAAAGCAAAGCAGATTAACAAGCAAAGCCCAAATGATCACCAAAAGCCCAACAAAGAGCAGCCAGGAGGGCCATTTTTAGATATGGGCTATTAATTAAGAATCAGTTTTGGCAGATTTGGGAGGTGTGCTCAGTTAGATTCTATGCCATAGCTCTCACTAGTTCAGACTGGTGGCACAAAAGCAGCACTTGTTTCGAGAACGCACAGACATGGGCTGCCCTGTCCAGGGTGAAGAGGCCTAGTCCCCCCTGCTTTCAGAGAGCCAGGGTGGCTGGTTTTGGGGTGAGGCTGGGTCTGTCATCTGCCACAAACTTTTGACAAGATGGAGAGAGAGGAGGCTGAAGTAGGTGAGTGCCATGGCCGGGCCTGCCAACTCCGTACTGGTCCCTGTTACCCCCAGACCAACCAATGAGGTGAGCTGGGCTGCTCTCTCATTTGTAGGATCACTCTGGTGACCAGAACTGGAACCGGTCAGGAACCCTCGAGGTCTACAGGGGCACATGTATCCCAAGGTGATATACCCACCCAGTGGCAGGCAGGCGAGCACATGCTGAGGTGCCACAAAGACGACACCCTTGCTTCCTACACATGCCAAGGGTCTGGTAAGGAGAGACACTGGGGGCCAGGAAGGCACAGGATGGGAAGCATCACAAGGGCCTCAAGCCCCCAGGCAGCCCGTGTGGTGGGCTGGTCTACTGTAAACCCAAATATCGAGTTCAGTCATCCAAGAATTGTGATCCTCTTTCTAGTTTTCCTCACAATCCAAGAAGTTGTATTTATAATCCCATTGAGATGTTATTGGAATCCTAGCAAGTTAATTCCAATCTACCACCACCAATCCAACCCACAGCGAGAATAAAAACATCAAGACATATTCCAAATTAAGGGCAGCCAAGGGGTCCTAAAACCAATCCTCTCCTGATGAGGACAGGCAGACAAAGGCCTTGATCCTAGGCCTCTTCCAGAATTTATTATCTTGTGAAGAAGTGGGGTAGCTCAGGAATGAGTAACAGTGAGGATGGTGGGAATTATGTGAGTAACTTGAGCTGCCTGGCAGGTGCAAGATTGGCATCTCTGTAAATTGCAGAGATAAAGATATGCAGAAGGATCAATTTACATAATCCAATTAAGGTAGCAGTGGAATTGTTCTGCGGGGCTATCCTTTAGTTTCTGAAATGCAAACTTTTGTGCCCTGGGGAGTCATAACCTCTTATCTTGAGGCTTGTACCCAGCTGACATTCCCAGAGCTCTTGGCTCTAACATCTCAATCCTGTACACAGAGAACACTATCCAGAGAACACTATCCAAGGAAACAGGACTGTCTGTTGGCTATAGAGATTGCATATTAGCACCTCAGCTAGCCTTATTTGCAATGCTCAGAGCCAATTGGAGAGAAAAGGAAATACCCTAGCCAGCTCTTTACATATCAGTATAAGGAAATGAGTCTCCAAATAATCAGTCAGTAATTGTTCTGGATTCAAAGGGAGTCACTGGAGTTGTTCCCACACTGGGCCACACTGGAGTGCTGGGCTGGCTGCTTTGTGGCACCTCAGCATGTGCTTGCCTGCCTGCCACTGTGTATTAATGCAGGAGACAGCCAGCTCCCCTCTGCTGGATGCAGGGAGCAGTTTTGGCCCTCTTCTGTGTGTAAACCAGGCACAAACAGCCCTGCCAACCTTTTCATTTGGGAACGGAGGCAGAAGAAATAAAACCAAGTAGAATGGAGACCAGGAAATCAAGAATTTAAAACTCCTTTCAAAGAAAAACTATAACTTCATAACACAAACCCAATTTACTTTTTCTTTTTCCCCAAAAACAAACCTGGGCAGTTGGGCAGCTCCCTTTCAACTGCACCAGGGTCCACTGTCCCCTTCCACCTTTGGCTTCCTCCAGCCAGAAAGCAGTGGCCACAGGCCCAGCGCTGGCTCCAGAGCCCTGCAGGTGGCTGCACTCTACCCTGTGACACTGAGATCATCCCCACGGAGGACAGCCCTCCAGTGCATGCCTGCCCCAAGGGCATGGCACCTCATTCCTTCCAGCGCCCACACTCGGCTCTCACGTGTCTCCTTCTCATCTGTCTTCCTGAGCAATCCTGAAAATTCTTCTTCCGTGACACAAGTCAGCAAACCTGCATATCTTCAAGGGGTGGGTTAAATGCCTTACTTCAGCTTTGGGAACCCCCAGATCCAGCACGTCAGGCATCCAAGACCCGGCAATTTTCCGCGGGTTTGTTCCCTATGCTTGAAAGCACAGGGATCCATTAGGTCTTAGGAAGGCTCGTGTCCGTGTGGTTGATCAGCCTATAGATAACGAGGAGGTGGTACACCAAAGACCCCGAGTCCCTATGGTTAGAGGGAGGAGAGATCCATGCACAGGCCCACAGGAGTCCAGACACCAAGCGGTGTAAGCAGGGACCCAGGGAGAGGCACCGTGGAAGGTCTGAGGCTGCAAGCTGCGAGTGGAGCTGTGTAACTGGGTCCTGGACTATAATCACTGTCTTTAACCACAGGACGTAACTAACACTGGATTAAGTCTGGGGAGTCAGCTAAGTGATGCAGCTTTTGGAAACACGAGGTGCTGAGTTTGATTCCCAATACACTCACAATAATAGTAACAATAATACCACTGGGCCACAACAACCCATCCCACACTTTTCTACTGTACATGAATATTTTAGTGTGATAGTTGCCAGCCATGCCTCTCAGTAGCTGTTCCTGGGAGACACAGGAAGCAATCTTCATATTTACCCACTTGGTATAACATGCAGCAAGGTGTGTGCATGCATGCAAAAGTGTCAGACTGGGATTTTTACCCACAACAGGTTTTGCATGTTTCCCTGAGCATCACAGGAGGTAAAACACACACTTTATCACAAATGGAATGTGGGTGTGACTCACAGTAGCTGCACCTGGGGAAAGCAAAATCCCATCTCTGCATTCACCCACTTGGGAGATGAACAGCAAGGCATATGCAGGAGATTCACAACAGCAACAGGAGAGCATAGCCCATGAAACACTCGGAGCTAAACTTCTGTGCATTTAGGACTTCAAGTTTTCTTTTGATTTTTCTGGTAAATATAGCTCAATTCACTAAAGAAAAAACAGATTTTCAAGTTTTGGAGA